GTGTGTGTGTGTGTGTGTGTGTGTGTGTGTGTGTGTGTGTGTGTGTGTGAGAGTATACATCTCTGTCTGGCGATTGTTACGTGGTGTCACAAGACAAGGATGTTCCCTCCCAGCGGGGGAACACTTCAGTGGGTCATGGGCATTCAGCCTCGGATCTTCGGGTAAACATCCTCTAAGGCGGACTTTGGGATATACAACAACACAGAGTCACCGAGCAGATAAAACCTTTAGTTCTCTCAGGACAGTGACTTGAAAGGAATTCGGGATTTACATATACATACTAATTAATTAAAATCGTCTGATTAAAGATTTAACAGTATGTTAGGTTTGTTTAAAACATCCTCATCAGTTTACTTATAAATTCTGAGTCTGATACTGCCTCTCCACTATCACCTGAAGAAAGAGCGAGACTCCAAAAGAATGTGTTTTCAAATAAACCCGTTGGACAATAACCTGGTGTTGTGTGATTTATGATTTTATTTATGTTGACATGCCCTAGAATATCAATAACCCCCTCTCTAGATTCACCATCAATGTTGTGCTTCTCCTTTGTGAATACTGGAGCTAGTACATGCTTATGGTTGTAGTAGGGCTGCTCTGTCCTCAACGGTGTTGAGCTTTTGGATTGTCATTGGAGATGTACCCATCCAGGCAACTGGAGAGCATTCCATCATACTCCAAATTTATTGCTGGTTGATCATGGACTTTGGAGAGTCAGAAAATTAGTTACCTCAAAAATCCAAGCCTCTAACCTGCTCTTCCAGCCACAGTATTAGTCTGCGGTTAGTCTAGCTAAGTTTCTGGTCAATAATAAGCCCCAGGATATTGATGTTAATGGAGGTTTCACTGACGGTCCTGCTGTTGAACATCAAAGGGAGTTGGTTAGATTCAATCTTGTTAATGACAAGCATTGTGTGGCATGAATACTGCTTGCCAGTTATCATCTAAAATGCAGATGTTGTCCAGGTTTTGCTGTATTTGAACATGGACTGCTTCAGTATTTGAGCAGTTGTGAATGGTACTGAAAACTGTGAAACTAGCACAAACATCCCTGCTTCTGATGTTATGATACAGGGAAAGTCTTTGAAGGAACAGCTGAAAATATTTAGATTTAAGACAATGCTCTGAGGAGCATAAGGTATAGAAGTAGGAGGCTTTCAAAATAGGATTCAGTCTTTTGAACCTGTTGTGCTGTTTAACGGGATGATGCTGATCTAACTGCATTTTCCTGCCTGTCCTCCTATAAATAAAAACCTAACTCTTACAACAGTTTCTGGATCTAAGATAATCTAGAGTAGTGTAAGCAGTTTTGGTCCCCTTATTTAAGGAAATATGTTATTTCATTGGAGGCAGTTCAGAGAAGGTTAACCAAGATGATCCCCGGTAATGTCTTATGTAAGTTGATTGTCTTCTGAGCAAAGTCTAAACAGGCTGGGACTCTGCTCACTGGAGTTTAGAAGAATAAGAGGTGGTCTCATTGAAACATATCGGATTCTTAAGGGGCTTGACAGGATGTCAAATGCTGAAAGGATGTTTCCCCTCACAGGAGAGTGTAGGACCAGAGGGCAAATTTAAGACTGAAATGACAAGGAATTTCTTCTGTCAGAGGGTTGTGAGTCTTTGGAACTCCTTGTCACAGAGAGCTGTGAGGACAGAGCCCTTGTGTATGTTTCAGGCTGAAATAGATTCTTGATCAGTCGGGGAATGAAGTGTTACGCGGGGAGAACAGAAAGTGGTAGTTAGGAGTGTCAGATCAGCCATGAGCCTATTGGTGGACGGACTCAAACGCTAACTTCTGTTCTTATTTCTTATGACCCTATTGCTTCCAACAGCCATAATCACCTTCATTTAAGCTAGATATGACAATGCAGAGTTTTCTGTCTAATTTCCATTGACTTTGGTTTTACCAGGAATCCTTGATGCTACACTCCTCAAATGCTGCTTTGATGTTAAGGGCAACCATTCTGATTTTACCTAGGATAAGCAATGTGTTGTGTTTCTGTACCATTTATAATGACATTGAAGTAACATGAGCTGTGAAAACACAGAAAGCCCAATAATCATGAAGCAAGGATTTTTTTTTTACACTGGCACTCGGTTGTTACAAACAGAAAGGGAAATTAAGGATAACAAGGAGCTGTTTACACTGTGAGGCATCCATCACTGTCCTGGGGAACCGCTCAGCTCATCTGCTCAGTTCCCTCCATCACCATTGCCACCTGCTGCTGAAGGCCCTGTTAAATGAGTGGGCAAGAATGTGGCAAATGGAGAAATGTGAAGTGATTGACTTTAGTGGGAAAAGTAACATTTTTATACGGTGATACACGAGGGACCATTGATATTCAGAGGGATCTGGATGTTCTTGTACACCCCAGT